AATGTAATAAATATTATTTATAACATTGTAAAATTTCCCACCTATGCCCTTTTGGTAGAGTTTGTGTAACATTAAAGTTCGATCAACTGTATCAAAGGCTTTGGTAAAATCCACAAAACATGTATAAATGTTTTGTTTCTTATATTTTAAATACTTATTTATAAGAGTTTTTAAAATAAATATGTTATCTGTGGTACGGTGGTTTCTTCTGAATCCAAATTGATAATTACTCAGTAGGTCATTTGTTTCCAAGTACGAATTTAGGCGGCATTGTAAAAGTCCATTAAAAAGTTTACCCATACAGCTTGTAACACTTAATGTAGAACAAAATCACAGCTACGTTCAAATTATATTGAACATCATTTTATGGCAAATTTATTTTATTTTCAGCAACAACTGAGTAAGCATTTCTCTTGAAGTAATAGTAATGTAATATACTTTAGAATATATCCTAGCCAATCCGAATCTCATCAAGATTGGTAATTTCTACAAGATAGCTGCAGTATTGGAGATTCTGATTTCGGTACAATGTATACCTGTTATGAATGTCAATCAACTGGAAGTGCACTATTTGAAGTCCTCTCATTCAACTCAGACAGGAGCTTAATATTACATGTTTTACATCTTAATCATGGCCGTAGGAATCGGGGGGGGGGGGGGGCACGGGGGGCCGTACCCCCAATAATTTTGCCGATATATAGAATACTATAGAAAACATAGCTAATATATGAGTGTACCCCCTCAATAATAACGTCTGATGTCCTTTTTTTTGCTTGTCAAGGAATTTTGGTAGTTGATAGTCCCCCCCAACTGAAAATATATGGTTGTGCCCCCTCAAAGTGAAAAGTGAAATTGCTTCCTACGGGTTTTTGAATTTCTTTATATTACACGTTTTACATCTTTCTTGGATTTGAGCCCCCCCCCCCCCCCACACTTTTAAGTTTGTGACTACGCCTCTGAAATAACAAACATAAAAAAAGATCGAGTGCGTATTTAAATTGTTTAAAATTGGGTGATGGGTAGGAGGCAGCGTTTAAGGGACACACCTCTATTTATGGAGCTCAATATCAAACTAAACTTAAATAATTGAAGATATATATATATATATATATATATATATATATATATATATATATATATATATATCGTACATAAGTGTTTATATACTTTGTAAAACAAGAATGAAAATTATACGATTTCTAAAATATACATTTCAAAATTTCATATCTAATAATTATGATCGTTTTACTGCTCTAAGTTAAGTACACTTGAACTAAGGAACTGATGTTCCAATTTTACTCCCTTAGAAGCCTAATAGGCGTTAATCTTATTCAGCAAAATGACAAAAATTAAAGAGTAATGCATGACATGATGCGTTAGTACCATACTCTATTCCAATAAACATTGCGGAGTAGTCTAAAATCTGGTCTGATCTATCATTAATTTTGCTTTTCTCTTCTTTTTATACAGATTTGGATTTTTCATTTGTTCTATATAATGAATTTCTTCACTACATGGTCTTTAAAAAATTTAAAATAACGCTAAAATTAGAACCTGCTCTTATCATATACAGTTGAGTATTCAAACTAAATACATTCCTGTATATTGATTCCCACGTGTATTGTCTAAATTTTTGATAAGAGAATTCTGTGTATGGTAAATGCAGGGACGTAGCATCGTTTTTGAAAGGGGTAGGGGCAGCCAGAGAAAAAAAATTTAACTTAGACAAGCAAAAAAAAACAAACAAACAAAAAAACAAAAAAAAAACTAAAAACAAAAAACAAACAAACAAACAAAAAACAAACCAAAAAAAAAAAAAAAAAAAAAAAAAAAAAAAAAAAAAAAAAAAAAAAAAGGAAAATCGTCCAAACTCGAAAATCCTATTTCGTGGGGGGGGGGGGGGGGGGGAGGTTCCAACTTTTTTCAGTACCAAATTTTATACATACACTACTACATTACCCTTATTTGACTATAATGCAACAAAAAGGGGGGGGGGAGCAACCACCCTTTCATCAACATTTTCAATAGTAAAAAGTTATGCTACGTGCCTTTAAATGAATAATTTGACAGGACTTTCTGTTCAAATATGACACTTATACAAGTAAAAATGGATACAATTTCCAATTTCATGCCAATTATGACTCTGTCTGTGAAATCCGGGGTTATACCTTAAAACGTCAACAAATCAGTTAAACACTTTTCAAGTACGATATTGGGCACTCTAAGAATTCTGCGATAAAGAAACTGTGTATAATTCCGATAGAAAACGATCTGCAACAAAATGTCCATGCCAGAAGACAAACCATGTTTGATGTTCAATGTAGAACTTTATATAAAGAATACAGAAAAAAAAAATCTGTCTTTTTTTTTCAATGTATCTAGGACATAGAAGAATCATGAAAAACTCATAACTGCTAAAAAGAAATATGAAACCGTGGAAAATCGGCTAAAACGGAAAAAAAATCAAAGATGCGAAGGAAATCAGCTAGAGGGCCTTCGCTTATCATACACAAAAAGATTTTACCGCGTATACAGTAAATGTAGCTCTAACAACAAGTTCAATTTTTAAGAAAATTTAAAAAAAATCGCGAGTGATCAAACAGACTTAACTGAAGTAACCGAAACGCAAACTAAGAACTTAACATTCCGATTACTATTGGTGAAGTTATCAGTGATACCTCTGACTCAAAAGTTAGATAAGTCGCCAGGTTTTAATAATGCTATTAATGAGTTTTTCAAAACTTTTCCTACACATTTTTTTTAAAAAAAGAAAAGCTGTTTAATGACATTCTGAATTCAAGTTGGTATCCATTTTTTGGTCACAAAGCATTAGGTATTGTGCCGATTTACAAAAAGGGGGATAAAAATAACCAAATCATTTATCAAAATTATTCACATCTATCTTGAATAAACGCATGTTGTCTTGGTCATGGAGTGAGTGAAAAAGTGTTGTGAGTGGTGCACAATTTGGTTTTAAGTCTGCATGGCTCAGGAAATAGGGACGTAATTATTTTAATTGAAATCATTAATTGTCAAGACCTTTAGTGAAAAGAAAAATTGTATTATTGTTTCGACGGCATTCAGCATTATAAAATGGGCTATAAATGAGTGAATAGTCGTCATCTTGCAGATTTTATTTAAGAAATAAAATATGTCAGAAAGGACATTATTCTCATTTTTTATTGATAGAGTGCTCACAAATTGTTCTGAAAGTGTTAACTTCCAAACTAAAATCTATTTCTACTGTAAATAAAATTACTTGCCGATGATAGTGTTATTTTCTCAGAAAGTATACAGGGACTGCAGAAAATGCTTGATACATTGAAGTCATATACAGATCAATGGAAATTATAGGTTAACGTTAGCGACTTAGGATGGTAAAATAAAAAAGCTCTCAAGAATGTTTCTACGATGATATTGAGCCTGAGAATGTTGATGTTTTTACGTACCTAGGTGTTAATTTTGAATGTTCTTTATTTGATATATGTGTAAGTTCTGTTCTTCATTATGAATGTGAAACATGGAGATTTCATAAAACCTTACATATTGAGCAGGTACATGTTAACTTTTTGAAGAAAATTATGCTGCTTCGAAAATCTTCAAATAACTTAACGGTTTATAGGAATTCGGTAGATGAGCCTGGTTTAGAATCTCCCCACCCTCAGAAAGAAATAAGAAATAAACCGGACCCAATAATCTCGCTTAGGAAAAGCCCAACCAGTATAGAATCCCCCCTAAATGACAGTACCCTTCCCCATTCTATCTATCAGCTTCATTAATCCATCTATACTAAGGACTTAAGAAAAAAAGAAAATAATTGAATTGAATTGAATTGGGTATACATTTTAGAAAATTAGTTTTCGATATAAATGTAGATTTGCTTGATTAATACATAAAAAAAATTATAATGGTCTTCTTAATATTCCTACATCATCAAAAGAATATTTCTTAAAAATTTTCTTCCTCTTTACCCTCATAAAAATTTTGACTCAAAAATTTAGTCCTAACATAGTCCTAAGGAGTGCGAGATGACTCAATTAATTGAATTTGGAATTCACAAAACATCGGATGTGTTTGATTATAATGGCCCCCGTTTTCTTAAAAAGAAGATCTTTCTAAGACTAAGGGCTTTAAAATTCCCGATTTAAGCCTCTTCTAACCCAAGGGTCCAAAAAATGAACAAATTTGGATCCATTATAGCGCAGCAATATATGATAATGACTTAGTGTGGCCAAGCTACTTTTGAAAAGATTTTTAAAAGTTATACATTTCAATGTAAAATTATTATCCCTAATTCATCGAGACTTACCCTACCTCTTCCTCCCCCAGGGTGTGGTTTGATTAAAATGTCAGGAAATATTCCAATAAAATTCATCTTTACTGGTCCAGTGGTTCTTGAGAACATACCACACATTTGCTTTTTCTTGATTAAATATTCTTGGAAAAGGGGGGATATCCATTTTGAACCCCTTTTACCGAAGGTTACTTTGAAAAAAAATTGTATTGAAATTGACCCTTGAATTCTGGAGAAGAAGATTAAAATTTAAAAAGTTTACAACAATAACGGCATCAACAACAACAAAATCCGCTGAAAGAAAATCTACTTTGATCGGAAAAGCTTTCTCCTGTGGGAGGAAAATCTTTTTCCTGGGAGAAAACTATGCATGGGTTGGGGTGGATGGGGTTATGGAGTATAACACTGGAACCAAAATTATGATTTCAAGGTTTCGGTCGGAACGCGAAATACCCGGAACGAATTGACAAAAGTTCAGAGACCAGGCAATGTTTTAGAATATGCCTTGCATAAAACGTGTCATTATTTAGAACATTCAATTTATTCATGAGATTCGCTTGATTGCGCGCAGGTCTCGTTATAAATCTCGATCGATGTTTATTTACACTGTTCAGCGTGTTGTATTTTATAGAGTCTATAACCCTAATAAAATATCGAGCTGGCATTTACATAGCATTGTTATAATCTGACTGGTGCCTATATTTAAAGAAAAAAAATCCTTTCCTTCCTGGTTTATTGGTGAACAATGTTGTTGCATCCTGATGTATTATGGCTATTTTCTGTACTGGTACAGTCCGTTGACTTGCTGGAGTGGTCATCGGTCACCTTTAGTAATGCCAACACTCCGTCAGCACGGAGGGACATGGCGTTGGGATACTTCCAAACTCAAAACAAACTGGTAGTTTTTGGAGGGAGAGGTGGTCCGATATTAGATGATACCTGGGAATACGATGTCGCTGGAGGTAAGAATCGATGGTGTTGCTGAGTTCTTTTAACAGTTCTTCTATTAAAAATGTATGGGGGAGGGTTTTCGACCTAAAAAGGGGGAGGGGGGCTTTTAAATGAAAAGAACCGCGAACGCTAACTCTCGATTCCTGCCTACATTTTATACATAATTCAAAATATTTTTTGCAAATTTGAGGTTAAAGTTTTATTTAATACATAGTAATTTATTAATCATAGCTCTAATACTTAAATCATTTATTGTTCTTACAACCTTATTTTGATAAAGAGGTGTAAAATTTTCTCCACTGAAACTGAACTTCCAAGACCTCACTGGATTTTAAAATGCTCATGGATAGGGATATTAAATATGTCCACTCATCTTTTACTGTAATGTTTTATTAATGCAAAGTTATCTATATATCTGATTTATTTCGTAGTTTTTTTTTTAATTGTTTATTACTTAGTGTATTTTGGTCTGTAAACACATGCTCCCTCAGTGAAATAGAAAAAAAGCTTCTTAATAACAATTTGTAATGCCTGTAAAAAGGAATTTTTGTTTCACGGGGAGGGGGGTGTTTTGAAAATATTTTCCGTTTTCCATTGATTTCGAAACAAATCGTGAGTTTTACCCAAAATTTATAGAATTATCTCTATTTCTTTTCATCAATAATTTAAATTTTATTAAATTAATATAAATATCTAAATAAATTTTAAAGAAGAAATGTTGAAAAATGATAACTATTGTAAATTGAAAACATATAGAGGTACATGTAGGCGGCGAAATCGTTCGCAGCCCTTTCAATACTAAATCAATACTAAATTTACAATACAACATTAAGACCCCCTTCCCAATAATGTGCTCGTATGATTGAGGTATGCAAGGGAAAGTTAAATAAATTAATATCATTTTGGGTATTATCATGTGTTTGACGCAAAATTCCTGCCCTTTATATAAATACCTTTTTCAGGTTTAATATGGTTGATAATTAACAAAATATGAACGGGGACTTTTTAATATTTGTGCACGATGACTTTTTCTACGAATGTAATGGTGAATTATAAATCCAAATGACAATTTTAAGTTCTATGTATAAATAATTTCGGACATCTGACAATTTTTTTGTACCACATATAGCTAATTTCTGAGAACAGATCCAGCACTGTTAGAAAGGAAGGAGGGATTAAATATTGACTCTAAATGTTTTATATGACAACACAGGGACATGGTCAGATGTGAGTAACACTACCAGACCCGGTGCCCGCTTCAGTATGGTATACGGGGTGGTGGGTAACTTCCTCTACATCACTACGGGGGAGGGACCAGGCAAGATCTTCTACAACGATGTATGGAAATTCGACATCACGTAAGTGCGGAAGCACCGCAACAGGATATTTTAAGTAGATTAAAAACATGATTCGGTACACTGCTGGTTTCCTATCTCATCTGACAAAAACCTCATATCCGGGTACGCGTACATGAGCCGAATTGAATAAAACTGAGTTTAATTTCTCTAATTCTTGAAAAGAAAAGTCAATGACATACTTAAACATGTAAGTGATAAGCATAAATAAAATATGGTGAAATTCTGCTTTCACAGACAGTGCTATGATTCAAAGGTAATGTAACTGATGATGTTAAGACTGTACAATTCTTTTCCAGGCACATAAGACACAAAGTTTAAATCTAAATGTGTTGATCAGAAAGTGTAAAACTTGGATGTATATTTTCTTTTTCTTTAACTTTTTCATGTTTTACTTTAAATAACCTATTATATAACCACTTTTTCAAATAAAAAATATATTACGGCTATTTTAGCTTCAGAAGTGACAAAAATTATGCAAAGATATATAAACCTTGTTTTTAAACCAAGTTGACGTACTGTACACGATCATTTTATGCATGGCTTTGGTTGGACAAGACAGTGTTACATGTACATGCTATAGAAATACAAATTCTGTCCTGGTCACAACTTTGCAATGCTTGGGTTGAAAAGCTTTTATTCTTCTAAGCAAGAAAGGCGCATCAACATTAATATATAGTAAAAGAATGTAGAAATATAAGATTTTACATTTTCGTATTCGTCAAACGGCGTGACAGGAAGGGGGGGGGGGGGTGGAATGGCAGTTCATGGTGGAGAGAGGAAGGTTATTTTTATACTTGTATATTAAATGAAAATTTTCATAGTAACTTCAATGAAGCTAAACTCATAGGTCCGCAGAACGGAAAGGTAGGGGCGAGGGGGGGGGGGGCACTCCCCACTTTTTCTGGGAAGACTCTTTCGCTATGGTTGAGTCCACTCATGTTAGTATACAAGAAAATTTTTTTGCCAAGTTTGAGAGTATTATCCCCCTCTCCATGTCTCTTGTTACACCCCGACTTCCATTTTTATTCTCAAAGTGTTTTTCACAGACCCGTTGTACAAGGGGGGGGGGGGGGCACTTTTTTCCACAATATTTTGCTGTAGATTTAGTATGAAGATATTCCATTCAAAGACCGCTTGCCCTCACACACCCCTCCCCTCTTCTTGTTGCAATGTGATGGAAATGTGTCCCACTTTATTACATGAATTAAAAAAAAAATTGCCGAAAAGTTAAAGAACATCCTACCCCCTCTCTGAAATAGGCTTTCTATAGTTCCAGCAGATTAGGTTTTTTTGGTGTCTTCCCCTTTTGAAAAACGTTTTACGGGCCCGATTCAGGTTTTGTTTGGAGGGGGTGTCAAATTATCCACCTTCCCCACATTTTTAAAATGGATGCCACATCCTTAAATGGTACAATTTTTTCCTCTAATTTGAACTTTTAAATCTTAAATTAAACACTTGACAAACGGAGTGAGAAAAGATATATTTTATTCTGAATTTTAGAACATCGACATGGACTCAAGTTTCAACCACGGGGTAAGACAAAGTACAATATGTAATGAAGTTCATGCTAAAAATATTTACTTTGTACAATTCACAAAATGATACAACCTCGTATGTAGAATTTACTTTTTTTCGTGTTCAGAACTCCACCAAGTGTGCGATACGGAGCAGTAGGGGGCGTGTACCCCGGCTCCACCCTCCTCTACGTTAATCTGGGATTTGCCGGGGAGCGTTTCTTTGATACTCTTGTCTTGGACACATCAACAAATCATTGGTCCACGAGTAAGAATATTTCTATTTTCTGATACATTGTACTTAAATTTTTTACAGTAATAACAGCAAGTTTCTATAATTACACGAGTGTACTTGCCAGGGTTCTGTGAAGGGTTCTGCCACCCCTACAATCCTAACTACCCTCATGCACGATGCCTTCACAGTGGGGCTGTAATCGATGCCAACCGACTTGCCATCTTTGGTGGATGTTTGAGGTACGTGAGTGAATGTCAAAATATATTTTAGCACAAGTCACCTTTCAATACTAGACAGGATAGTGAGAGTTGATAATTTAAAATCAAATTTTAGTGGGGGACAAACTGGTGGGCCCTGTCCTGCAGGAGATTCTTGGATTTTCAAAAGCTCTGAACAAGAATGGACAGAACTACCGCCCTGTGCCAGTCCTAGGTAAGAACAGATTATATATACTTAATCGGGAAAATCAAAAGGGAACCTTTATAAAGGTAATTTTAATATACGGAAAAGACGTTCATAATGTCGATGTAATCAATTCATGTAAAATTTTACTGAAGGACATACAGTAGTATGGCTTTGCTGCCAGAAGTAAATGGTCAGAAACGAGTTGTGTTGTACGGTGGGATTGAAAATGACAGACAAGTTATTCAGGTAGGCAAAAGATGATTTAAAGATTATATAAAATACCATCCTTTAAATGTACTTCTTGTTTTATAATTATTTGTTCTTGCAGACATCTGAAGCCCCTGTAGACACAGTTGCGGTACTAGATGCCGATTCAATGTCTTGGACCTATCGTAAAACTACAACAACAGTAAGAAATTAATGTCTATATATGCAGTCACCTGTTCAAGACAATACCAGGATATTAATAATGTGAAATTCTTGATATGCTTTTTTAGAGCAGTTCATTTCCTGCAAAGAGAGCATCAGCAGCCATGGTTTCTACAGCAACAGGAATATATTTATTTGGAGGAGTAAACACTGAAACGTAATGTATTAACGACTTATATACCCTTATCTTTCCCTTCTCTCAGAATCCACTTATACTTTTTATGAAGTAGTAGTCTGTGCAGTTAATTATACCCCACGCAACAAGTTGCGTGAGGTATAATGTTTTTGACCCGTCCGTCCGTCAGTCAGTCAGTGTGTCAGTCCGTCAGTCCTGTTTTTTTGTCAGCGCAACTCCTCATAAACCGCTGCACAGAATTTCGTCAAACTTTGCAGATATTTAGGACACAATGTGTAGATGTGCATATTACCAGGAAATTCCGATTCCATTATTTTCTGGGAATTTCGGCACTTTTCAACTTAGATTTTTGGCCATATCTTGAATATAGAGATGAAAAGTTTGTCAGCACGCCTCCTCCTAAACCGCTGCACAGAATTTCAACAAACTTTGCAGATATTTAGCACACAATGTGTAGATGTGCATATAACCAGGAAATTCCGATTCCATTATTTTTCTGGGAATTTCGGCACTTTTCAACTTCGATTTTTGGCCATATCTTGAATATAGAGATGAACAGTTTGTTAGCACAACTCCTCTTAAACCGCTGCACAGAATTTAGTTAAACTTTGCAGATATTTAGTACACAGTGTGTAGATGTGCATATTACAAGGAAATTCCGATTCCATTATTTTTGCCTTAAGAGTTTTGCCTATTGTTGAAGAAACTTTCCAGCTAGGTAATAAGGAAATCCACTGGAATCAGCTTTCGTAATGAAATTTTATGTGAAATATTGTATGACCTTAAAAGACCCCTATTGATTTTGAGTTCAAAATATTAATTATTTAACACACACACACACACAAAATCTTGGATAGTCCCCCCCCCCCCCCAAAAAAAAAAAAATTGGTGCTTTGCCTTAAATAATTTCATAAGTACAATATATAAACAAATTCCTATGACTACATCATAATTTTGTTTCCATCAATTATTTAAATGTGTAAATTGTCATGTGTTGGACATGGACTTACACTCATTAACAAAGCGAAATCACTGAGGAATTTAAATAACAGTTTGTCAGCATAACTCCTGCACTGAATTTCCTGATTTGTATATTACCAAGAAATTTTGATTCCATTATTTATCTAGAAACTTCAGCCCAATTAAATTTGTAACATACAAAGATTTGAATGTCCTTATATGCAAGAAGTTTTGATGTGATGATTTTTTGCAAGTAATGCCCCTTTTTGAATTATACTGTGTATTTAAAATGCACTGTGCCATTCATTACGTGTTGCATTGTCGAGTTTTGGGGGAGCGTGGGGTATGTGAGCTTGCTCACTTTTTCTTTCATTGGTAATGTGGTATCATGAAAGCAAAAATAGTTCTATCAAACTGTAACCCTCTTAATTGACTGATACATGTATTTGTTTGCAAAAAGATGACAATGAACAATAGCAAGTGCTTGTTTTTACAGGAAAGCGCTTATGAATGACATCTGGTTCTTGGCTGGAAACTCCAGCTCTGCAGACCAGGCAGCCACTGGGGAGTGTGCCTCCATTTTTACAAACTTCCCACTGGTACATGGAATTCTGATGTTCCTGGGGTGGGGTGTATGTCTGGTCTGGGGGACATTCATTGCCAGATACTTCAGCTCCTCGGGGACCACATGGTTTCTTCTCCACCGAATTTTTCAGGTTATATTCAGAAATTTAACTTCCACTTTTAAGTTGTAACATTATTGTATTATACTATGTACATTTTATATGAATTGCAGTTGATATAAAAATGGAATAATTACATGTAGAGTTGTGCCATATTAATCCATTATAACGTGTTTCTGAACAAATTGTCCGGATTAATGAAGTGTTCAGATAACAGAAACACACTTGGTATATATATATATAAAAATAAATTTTTCCCCAAAAATTTCATCTGGATTATTGGCATGCAGATTAATGAGGCTCCATTGTAATTTGTTAGCATACTTGATTCTGACCATCCGGCGCGCCCGGGTAAACCGGCGATGACCGGCAACTCACTTGATTCTGAGCCGGTGTTGCGCACGCATCAAGTCGGGTGAGCCGATTGAGACGGAAAAATTTGATAGGCTTGGGCGGCTTCAACATGGCGTCCTTGGGGATAGTAGTGTTGAAAGTTGTTTGTTTTAAGACGTGAAGCTTTTGATCGAGGTACGCTTGTGAAATGAACATATTTGCAAAAAGTGTAGTCCTTTTCTATGCTAGATAATGTTTTACGATAGAAATACAATATTTCTATTACTTTACCTGTTTACATGAGCCTGTTCGCTTGATTCTATGAGCGTACCGGGGTTTATCCGGCTTGATTCGGCTCGGCCGAATTCTATCACAATCAAGTATGCTATGTATCTTCAAGTAAATTATCCAGTTATAGAAGATTCAGCTTCATATTGTTACATTCCCTTACAGGTATCTGGTTTGGTCCTCAGTGTTATTGGTCTGGTCATGGGGATAGTATCTGTCCAGTTTGATCACTTCAAATTTGCACATGGTGCCATAGGAATTATAATTATGCTGCTTGGTCTGAGTCAACCTTTCAATGCTCTCATGTGAGTATAAGTTAACAGATAAAACAAATTTCCTAACTTACTAATAAAGCAAAATTCTAAACATTTTAGTAAGGATGGTTAAATCTTTTGATACATCTGTATGTGTTAATAATTTCTATGCATGTATTTCATACACAGTCGCCCACACAGACCAGCAGAAGGGGAGAAAACTCCTTTAAAGAGGAGGATCTGGGAGTTATTCCATCACAACATTGGACGTGTTGCAGTGGCTCTGGCACTGGTCAATATTTCCCTGGGGGTCTTCCTGGCCCTCTCCCACACAGCCATCTGGGCTCTGTGGTTTGTTTACCTTATCCTCATCATACTAGTGTTTTTGTTTTTTGAGCTCCTTAAGATAGAAATTATTCATGAAAAACTCTCTGGAATTTTACCACTCAAGAAACATGACTACCCTGTGTCAAGTGAACATAATATGGAGAAAATTAGTAATGAACAAGACATTGGAAAGAAAGACTAGACTACATAATGAAGCCTATGTGAAATCCACTTGTTAAAAATCTGCAGTCTTCATCGTTCATGGCAACTTCTGTTTGCCATTTTGTCATTCCAACATGACAGTTTTAATTTTTTTGATATTTGTATCCCAAGCTGTCTTGCTGTCAAATTACAGAAACTCTTCATGTGATAAAGTTTTGCTATAGCCCTCACTAGCAACATTTTGTTGCATAGAAAAAAATTACTGTATACCTATTGAAGAAAGTGGTGCAGGCACCATATGATTTATATGTTAGCTTTATGATTTATATGTTATACACATTGTATTTCATTCAATATCTTATAGTTATTGACAATGTAAAGTAGCTGATGCTGGACATCAGTTAAGCTGTTTGTATATTAGTATTTAATTGATATTAACACTTTGTGTATTACTGAAAAAGATTATTTAATATTAAATGCATATTCATCCAATTTAAGTTTTCACCTTAAAATCAAATAATAATAATAGTGTAGGACTTTGTGGACAGAGAAATTTAAGTTTTCATAAAATAGTGGAAAAATTGTATTTTTAATATTTTATTTCAAAACATCAAATTTTCATTGAATAAATAACATGGATTCACATTTGGAGCATGGCTCACAGAAACAGACAAATGGAAACATATCACGTTTACAATGAAGTGAAGAAATATAGTATAATCCAGCCTGTTAATCTGGACACTTGTGTTCCCTAGCAAACTGTTCGGATCAATGAAATGTCTGGATTAATGAAATGGCTTCTTTTAATGTTAGGTATAAATGTCTGTGCACTGAACTGTCAACATTTCGTCTGGAAGGTGAAACATCCGGATTTATGAGGCTCCACTTTATACATTCAATTCAGTATGGATGATTTGTTTTCTCTAATTTTACTGGTACAAAATATTTTTCATTTCTTTCATTTAAAAAATTGTTTATTAATATCACTAAGTCTAAGGTTGTGATTTACATGTAAATATCATGGCTGGTATTTAATTTTTTTTTTTGCATGTAGATTTTGTCTAAAATTAACATTACCATTAAATATTGAAAAAAAAATGAAATCTTTACAATAAATCAAAAACCCGATGAAAGAAATTTGAATCCTGGAAAATTATTGTGTGAAGGTGAACTTGGAGGATAGCTTGTCAGTGTTTCATCTCTTTCTTGGTCGGCTTTTTAAAAACTTGCAGTAAATGCATGTACATGTACACACACCTTTCCCAATTACAAGAATATTGTTGAACAAATTCCAGAGCTCGACATTAACTTTTTTTCCTACTTGTCCATTCAGACAAGTGACCAAGACATTTACTTGTCCGAAATTCAACTTCACTTGTCTGAAAAAATTTCAATAAAGATTAAATACTGTCAACTTGAAAACTGAAATAAATTCATTACATGTGCTTTATTGATTTGTGATGTTATTGAAATACAACAAACACATGAAACAAAATTTTATCTAGACTTTCTGTCCTAAAACAACGTAAATGGACTGTCATCTTCCCACAGAATTTCCATGCTTTTGCAGTAATATGCAATTAGTGAACCTCGATCCCGATCTTGTGTGAACTCAATTACATAGCGATTCCATATCGGGATCGAAGTTCGGTTTTATGTACATACTGCTTCCCTTTTTAAACCACCTGTAAATGTTCAACAGTCTTTTTTTTATTTGTATTTGGAGACTTCAACTTGTCCAATTGGACAAGTGCCCAGTAATATTCACTTGTCCGTAATTTTTTTTCATTGGTACCGGACAAGTGGACAAACATTAATGTCGAGCCCTGAATTCATGTAATACTGGTATATTCACATTGGTAGGATGTTGCAAACAAAACAATTTAGGACTGTAAGGATATAGACTAAACACTTAAAAAAGTTCATTATTTATACAGCACATTGTTTCATGAAATATCTATTCAAAGCAATTCTGTGATGCTTAACTTTCATATGTAAAAAATGGAAAACATTAAAACTAGCTTTTTAAATTAAAACTTTTATAGCATTTACCAAACACTTGTTTACATGAAGGAAATTGTTTTCTTATAACAGATATTGGTGAGATTACATAAGTTTTCCCCTTTTTTTGCCCCCTCCCCACCCCACACCCAACTTGACCTCATTGTCTCTGAATGAAATCCTCTCCCTCTTCTTCCCTGACCCAGCAGAATTGGTTTTTATTGGAGGAAACCTCGCCCCACTGGATGCTGTTAAAAAAAAGAAAAGACAATGATGTAAAGTTTGGACAATGAAGGTAAAATTCTAATTAAACTGAACTTATCAAAATTTGGTTTGTAATCACTTTTTAATGCAGCTATTACAAGTTTAGACAAATTCATTCAAATAAATTGTGAAAAATATGGAAACTTTTTTCTGGGGTTAATCTCTGGAAAACAATGACATACAAACAAGGTAACTTCAGTTTACTTCCCAAACTTTGTGTGGGGGATATACAGCAAAACTTAGAAATCAAAATGACACAGAGTTAGAAAATATAAGCTTATAACAAGTTTTAATTTATGCCCTGGTAAAGTCCTTGTTAAACCATAGGAAAAATTATTGTAGAGTAAATTTTTTCTAATCAGACACCACTGGTTTCATAGAAATTTGCCGGATTAGACAAGATTCTGGATTTGGCAACATTTAAAATAAGTAAATTTACACAAAGGAACAAAAAGATTTCATTGTAATAGGCAATTCATTGTATTAAAGCATTGAATTCTTAATTTTGGATGTGGTTGGTCCTATAACAGCACCTGGCTGTTCCAATAAATTGGAATACCATGCATAAGCGTGGTATGATCTTTGTAGATTTCCAATGGATTTCATAAAGAACATTATACTGAATGTAAATATTTGGAATACACATTGATTAGACAAGTTTCACTGTAAATAAGACACAGGTTTTATACTCTCACAAAATATAAAAAAAAAAATTCATTCATGTAACATTTTTTCTCATATCAAATTTCAGTAAAGACAATTTTAATTTGTCACTTTATTGTTTAAAAGGAAGTCTGCATATAATCATACTAAAGTACCTACTACAACTTCATGACAATATATTTTGTTACCACTGTAGTGATAACCATTAATTTTAAAGTAAGATTTATTACGAATTTACTATAAACGTCTAACAAATTATGGTTTAAATTTTTTTTTAGTCCTTTGAAATTTCTAGAACTGAGTTTCACTGCAATGGTATTCTTTCACTCTGTATTTGAAATGCACATACATGTATAATAAAACTTCAATCAGATATACTTTCTTGGATATCTTAAAGGATTGTGACAATAGTGAAGGGGAGTAAAAAGCATTTTGTGCCACAGAATTACAGCAATGAAAGCTACAACTACATATACATGTACAAGCAATTCACCCAACCCACTGTAAATAAAGTACCTTCTGATCCTGCAGAGAATCTACGTGGGGAATGCACCATTTCTCCTTGAAGACTGACACTGTCCACAGACTGAAGGTCAAGGGCAGGACTCCCCTATAAATAGAGATGACGTAATCAAACTTAACATTATGCTCTTGTTAAAAACAAACTACATGTACATGTACTTCATATAGCTCACAGTCTTTGCATTCATAGATAAAGATATATACTCTATAACATGAAAAAATGGCCAAACTACAAAAATATGCTAATATTTAGCCCCTTTTTTATTACTCTGTTTGAAGTGGAATCATGTGATTGTGAAGATGGAAACAACAATACAATTATTTTCCTTCTCTAGGGTGGATAGATTATCCCACATGTACATCCATAAAAAGCTGTATCAGTAAACAGGTTCTTTAGTGTTGGACTTACCGTCAGCCTGACATGCCTACCCCCCACCACCTGAGGGTCTATCCTGGGGAGGTTGTTGTCTGCTCCATACATCTGCCTCGCTGGTTTTCTGTATATCACACATAAATGACAATATCAAAAGCCTGAAAGGCTTCAATGACGTCGAAGAAGAAAAACAATTTCAAAAGATCATTTTGAATTTTAAGGTAGCAATAAGTCAAGTGAGTGACTCAGGAGACATAATAAAAAAAATAGTTTAAACAAAATATCACAATTACAGTCTGGGGCCTTATGTCATGGTCCGAATGGAGCAGGGTTCGAATTGACCAGACACCGTCGAACATGTTCATGCTAAATATAATATTTTTTTCTAATTGCCAATGTCAAAGCATTGTATTAGTGATTGCATCTAAACTACAACCAAGCCTCTAGTCTGTTAAAATTACGATCGAGTTACGATCGGGCGTGGTATACGGTATACTGGGAAATGGAGGAAATGGAGAAAAACAGCAATACTGGTCAATATCATCGGTTTTTAGGATAGAGTTGGTTAGAAGATTGTATAAGTAAAGCTAAGATTTAGAAATTCAATCTTTTTAGTCTTGAAATATTCGTGTTTATGTAATTTTGTGATTATTTTACCTCCTGTTGTGTTGTTTTACGGTTATCGTTCCGAAATGTTATTCATGTCATTCAACGCACTCTTTCTATAGAAATTCATCCGCAACAACCATCACGTTTTTCTTGTGTGAGAATAAAATATAATATTGTTGTTTTGCAATAGAATTAATTGCGGATATAATTGATGCAATTTTATTTTCAAGCTATTATTCATTTTGAGCGTTTTCAAAGAAATTAGTTTATACCTATTGCTATTTTCTATTGCGGATGCATCGACTGACACATTCGGTCGCGTACATATCCGGTCGCGATTTCAACTGGGCGCTTGCTAGATGACGTTCGAGCTCCAAGAGCTCGACGTCATAAAAAATTGTGTCAATTGAAACTATGCTGAAAGTTGTTGTGATGATCAATAGATATTCAAGTCATCTGTGAACTATGAATGATTTTCATACATCACACATGGCAGCTTGTGTTTATTAAATAGCCTGAATATCATTTTTATTTGAAAATTTAATTAATTTGTAAATATACATACTCGTATATATCCTACTTCAAACCCTTTTTGAACTCAGATGGAACCTTATATGTAAGATAAGACAAAAATCTAACAAAGCAACAAACAGCTTACACAGGATGGACATTGTGTTCTGATTCCTCAAAGCTGCCCACTTGGTTATGGATCCACTCGAATGTCCGACTGTTCTTCAGGTTGGACATAACTCTTTTCTCCAATTTCTTCTTATCTATTTCCTCCTGTCGAGCTGATAAAAAAAATTGTCAACCATAATTAAGTCCCTTTACATAAAATTAGAGATTTTGAATCAATTGTTACTAATACAATTTCTGTAAATAATTCAGAGCTATATTAAATACAGTCAAAACTGTCTAATCCAACACCAGTGCTATCCTTTTCACTCTGAAATCTGACCTTTATTTTCATTCCCACTTGACTATTTTCCATGTTCTTTAGGCTGTGCAATCCAACACTTTCTATTCTCAAACAAAACTTGTGTCCCAGTTCAGATTAGACAGATTTCTCTGTAATATAACGAATAAATACTGACCTTGAAAGTATTCTTTACGTGGCAGTGTCTGTCGTGAAGGATGTGTAACAGACTTCCTGGACACGTTAGTTTCTTCAAGTCGTCTGAATAATGCCAGTCTCTGTTTGGGATCTGTTCATTGGTAAAAATAAAGAAAAATAGGATGATAAAAATTTTGAAGCCCAATTACTAAAATTAAATACATACTACCAAATTCTGCAATACATACCCAATTTGCCTAGTTTCTTTCTGCGCTCTGCATTGTATTTCAATTTTTTGGCTCGCTGCATCATCATGTGTGCAGTGTTGGCATCTTTGAATCCCCTATAAAGAGCAACGTCAAAATTGTTAATATCAAAGTACAATGTAGTACAGAGTGGCAAAAATGTCAATAATTTCCAAAATAATGATCACAGACAAATATTTTCCAAGAATTTGATTAAATGAAAACTAAAACATCATATTAACAGAAGAACTGTCAAAACAATACTAATAATTCCTGCGGGGGGGGGGGGGGGGGGGGGGGTAAATAAGATTTATTTGATAATCACAATACTCCCTTGATGGCAAACTCCTATGGTAACAAGGGCATTTGATCCTTGACCTAAAATATCCTTGACATCATACATGTGATATGTACCGGCTGTACGCAAAATGTACAGTTTTTCGAGCCCATTCATCGTGTACCGGTGGGACACCAAAATTCACGGAATATGAAAATTTGTACAGTATTTTGAATTTCTCGCTAAATGCCGCCATTTTCCTCTCATTCTCGCTCGCGAGACACTGGAAACGTGTGTAGTGTACACAAACCATCACGTGCGAAGGTGTGAACTGCCAATTGGGATAATTATCTTGCCATAAATTCGTATCAAGTACCCCTTTAGGTAGCTTTATTTTTTAAGGGGTACTTAATTACTGTTAATGTTTCGTATACGTAACTTGATTGAAAAAAATTAAGCCAACTTCTAAAGTTGATATACATGACTTAATATACGTGAATCTGACCCAGATCTTCGTAGGTATAAAATATACGATGTTTATTACAATGATTACGATGGAATTTCAGAAGAATTTAAGCGATATTTTATACCATTTTTTGTACCATTTTCTGATAGGCAGTGTACAGTTTTTTCACCCAAATTCTAGTTTTTTTATGGCTCCTGTACAGTTTTGTGGTCTTTGACTTATCACATGTATGTGACATATGAGGACGTGTTTTTGACTAAATACATGTACATATACATGTAGTCTCTCGATTAATTTAGAGGTATTTGTAAAGGTGAAACAGTAGTCAGACTAAAGAGTAAACGAGCACACAAACAAAACACAATATGCCCCCATATCATTGGTCTTTTGGGACAAGAGATTTAATTGCTACTGAATTTCTTTTTTAATTGTGAAGTTCAAAACCAACTCCTAAGCCTTAAACACATCAAACTAACTGACCACTCCTCAGACAGAAGTTCCTCTTTCTTTGACATAGCAGTTCTGTGTGTGTCTGTCACACTGGCAATGGAGGGGGGACGGGGGACATGCCCATTCTGTTGAACATCTGACAGCGGTGAGTCCATCCCCCTCCAGGCACGACGTGGATTGGCAGGGGGGTGAGGCTTGTCTGTGAGGTTCAGCAGGGGAACCTTTGAGGGAGGGCTGGCCTGCTTCCCACTGGGAGGTTTACCCAGAACAGGATGACTAAAAATCAAAATTAACATCGGTAATAATGTTAAAATACATGTACTAGTAATCCTTACTTATCTACAGTATCTATTAATTTCTTACCAAAAATGACATTCATTTGCAATTCTGTCAAAAATGATCAATGGTGTTGTTACTTGGTAGATGAAGTGGCTTTAGAATAGAGTTATTGTTAATTTCACCAAAATTACATTTTTCTTTTTCAAAATTCCATCTGATTTGTTATCACAAACAGTACATTAGGGATGTCAATTTAGTCAATAATTCATATTCGAATATTCAATGAAAGTATTCGAATATATTCGAATATTCGATAAGATAAATAAAATCTGTTTTATTTTAAATATGCCTCATGAAAGGTTTAGCGTAGGTATACTTAATATATTGGAAGTAAAATTGTATGAAGACTTTTGTAGGTGTACAATATAAGAAATTTCATTTGATATTTGTCAATGTTTGAAATAAATAATTGATTTAAATGTAGAAAAGTATAATTTTAACAAATGAAACATGTGTATTTATCGTAGCTCCATCTGAGGAACCAGTCGTCTTACTGTTCAGATTTCAATACGTGTAATGAATTACAATTATCTGCCTAATAAGAAATATGATTATAATCTTTGATATAATGTAAACAAATATTTCCATAGACAATTTTCCTAGGTAATTAACTAATTTCCCGATAATGAATATAAAATTCAGGATTATGTTCAACCCGAGATAATCAAGTAATTTACACATTTATTCTGAAATTAAGCCCTTTACAATAATAATTACAGACTAATTCTATCGGACATCCATTCAATGATCAATTAATTTATACTCTTCACGCCTTTTAGACATTCTAAGATTTCATTTTGTTGTCCTCGATTCTAGATCCGATCATATCTAACTAAAAAAAAACTATGAAAGTACGTTTTGTATTATACATAAAGCATTATTGTACAATTCTTTAACACCTTACTCAAAACAAAATACATGTTATTTAGTAAATCTATAAGATAAGAAAGTAGTGAAAGAAATCAGGCGATCGAAATTGATCGCTAGTAAATTAAACAGGGATAATCCCAGCACAGTTCTAATCAAAATTTATCAATCACAGTACTTCTTTTTATGAAATCTGAAAAACACCGAATATTCGAATCTTTAAATTCATATTCGAATATCAACTCATCGAATGAATATTCGAATATTCGTTGCCATCCCTACAGTACATATATAGTACTGAACTTAGAAACAAGCGGTAACTTACTTTACAGGAAGTTGTGGTGTTGGTGGGGGTTTCCAATCTTCTAACATTTCCTGAAAAAATTTGGTCAATAATATAATATAAATAACATTATATATATAGCCCTTGAAATTTTGGCAATATTTAGAAAGCTTGAATTTGTGATGCCTCTTAACCTGAAATATTTCATTAGGCTTAAAATGTCTATATTCAAAGCAAATATTAGAGAAAAAGGAGAGTTTGTGATTTTTTTCAATCACAGAAAATCAATAATTATAAGCAACAGCTTATATCATTAAACACAAAACATACCTCATCAAAGTTGAACTCTTTGAGATCAACCTCCTGAAAATCATAGTCATCTTCATCTTCAAACTTGGCAAACTCTAGGGCCTGTTCAAGCCTCAGCCTCAAGATGTAGCCTCGCCATACAGCCTGCAAAAGACAGATTAAAAAAATGATAAAAAAAAAAAAGTTTAAAAATTCATGAATTGGGAGAGCAAAGACTGTGATCAAATATTTTTCTCCATTACATATCCATTTAGATTTAACAATTTTGTGAATATATACTTACTCCATGCAGCCTTTTTTCCCATCAAACCTCTATATTTTTTGGATTAGAGGTAATTTGTATAAGGACTGATTACTTTGCTTTCTATGTTAGTTAATAAACGTCCATCACCTGTATTTTAGTTGCAGCCTGGTGAAGTTCCTGTAAGATTTCGTGGTCTTTCTCATCTAGTCCTAAGCCCTCCACTTGTCCCATTGCACCCCAGATCTGTCTCCTTACTCTGTGACCCCTCCAGTGCGCCTGTATCTTCATGGCCGCAACACTCTGTAGATCACTACAAGTCAGTATGGTATTTGAAATTTTGCTGGTAAATGACAAACAACCACTTTCCCATTTTTTTAAAGAACATATGAAAATTGCTTTAAGTATCGTAAAGTAAGAATTACATGTAAAACTGTAAATAGGTACACGTTTTATGTCACAATTAATTTCCATGTTTTTTTAAAAAATTCCAAACCGAGTAAATGTAAAAATTCAGTTGATTTTCACCTAAATTTTCTGCTCTGGCCAATATCAATGTCTTCATCAACAAGAGCTTTGACTGTCTTTGCTGAAATACCAGTTGATTTCTTTTCATCAGAATTTACAAATGTTCCTCCATCTATAGCACCATTGAGCTTTGCTGATGAATCACCATTTATTGTCATTTTCCCACCTTTGGCCTCCTTTTCTGAGGACTTTAGGGCTCTCTCGAACATTTCCTTGGGGTTGAGAAGCTGACTCTCCCTCTGGGCTTGGCGGACAGACTTGGATGATGCAGGACGTTGACTAGATTTAGGTGTAGATGGCGCTGTAGGCATGGCCATAGTGATTTCTCCATATTCATGTGCATATCTGTGTTCCTCTGCTAACCTTTGAGTTGTGTCACAATACTTAAAATATAAATCACACAACGAACCCAAATCCCAAGGAAGACTACTCTTCTGCACTCTGGAAAAAAAGGATATTCAATCCATATCAATAGGGCATAAGCAATTGGACGAGAGCTGTTGAAAGATTTAAAATACAATTTTAACTTGAAAATAAAAATCATTGAAGAAAAACTACCCAATTTCCTTGAGCATATTATTGGCTAGATCTGTGTAGAGTTGGGCCTGGCTGATACACATGGCTTCAAAGCTTGTCCTTGGCTTCACTTCTATACCACTGCCAAAAATCTTGTCATCCAGTTTCTTTAGATTAGGCAGGGACAAACTGATCAAAACAATAAAATTACTAGTATGGCAACTAAAGACATAGGCTACCCTTTTTTTATACAATAGTGGAAAGTAAAATACAATGCATTACAAAACTAATTTTTTTCTTAATGAAGTCTTAAGTCTTATTTTGGATTTTAGAACTTAAAAAAAATTCTGATATTCATTGTCCTGTGACTTGATTTAGACACTCACTTGATTTCAGTGAGTTCTGTAGCTGGATTTCCCGCTATACACATGCTTTCTAAATGAACACATTTTTCAACACTTGATGCCAAGGTGTCCACATCTGGAAAAAAAATCCAGAAATGAAACCTCAAATCAAACCCTTATTAAATGATGAGGGAAATATTACCAAATTAGATAAGAACTAATTACTCACCAGTGATTTGATTGTGACTTATGTCAAAATGTCTTAAAATCAGCAGATTATTCAATGGCACCAAATCTTCAATACTTAAAAAAACAACAAAATTGTAATATCAAAATTCAGTGTCCATCAATATACAATAATGCATGCATTAATTAAAATAAGTTATTCAATGGAGTTGTATATTAGGAGTGAAACGGTTCACCGCGGTATCGATGCACCGCGGTATTTTTTCTCGGTTTGATACACGGTGCAAAATCTCTAATTTTCGGTTCGGTTCATTTTTCGGTCGGGATCGTTATTCAGTCGGGTTTGGCATAAGGTATAACACGTTACTCAGTATAAATAAGTATAGAAAACGTAAATTTTTGATGACTGATAGCTTGTAAGATAATTTTTGACAGTCAAATAATTTTAATCAATTTCTTCTAGTCAATTTGCAAATAAAATTCGTAAAATAGGTGACTAGATTTAGAAAAAGAAAGCATAAAACAACGTTGAATTTGTTTCCTTCTATCAAAATGTATCGTATCGAAAATAACCGAACCGAGACAAAATTATGCAATACGTATCGAATCGTGAAGGAGGTGTACCGTTTCACCCCTATTGTATATGTCATAATATATTTGAAATTACAACAATTGTTTGGTGAGAAGGCACCAACTTGAAAATTGATTAAATGCTAATAACAAAATCAGATTTGACACCAAAATGTACATGTAACTGACATATATTTAATTACATGGAGGTAATAATGAGCATAACATAATAATTTGGACTATCCCTGATCAGCTTCCCTATACCCATGTATTACTGCAATCATTGAGAAGTAATGACTACTGTACTACACCTATTTTGTGATAGATTCAGGATTTCCAATAGTGGTAGCCAATCCGATTGTAGCTCCTCAAGGTCACCTATACTGTTATCCTCCAAACATAGCACCCTTAGCAAGACATGGTTCCTCAGACATGGAAGCTGGAAAACATTATACAGTGTTATTGTTTAATGTTATCTCTTCTGCAGTGCTGCAATTATCAAAGTTTCTTTCCAAATCATCTTCTCATTAATGCACTAGCACAGATTATATACAATGCTAAATTAAAACTATATAGTTAAACCTCGTTATCTCAAACTCTATGTGACCTATATTAAACTTCAAGATATCTGAGCTTTCGAGATATTGATGTTAAAAAATTTAAAGAAAAAGTGGTTGGGACTGCCAGATCACTTCCACACATCCCTGGTATTCAAGATATCAATGTTTGAGATAATGAAGTTCAACTGTACAAGTCAACACTAGTCCAAAAGTCAAACATGTAGATATGTGAAAAAAGAGGTCAATGGGCTCTTTTATTCATCCTAGTTACTTTGCTTTTAATGGGAAATGGGAAGTATGTTAAATGCTCCAATTACTTGTTCATGTATATATATGTACTTGTATTGCATATTTAAAATTTTGTATTCCTGTTGTATTTGGCTTAGATGGACTAAAACACCTTTAAATTTCCTGACTGACCTTCTGAAGGTTGTTAGAAGACACCATTAGAGTCTGCAGCAGACACAGCTTGCTGATGTCCTCAACAGTTTGAAGGTGGTTATTGGAAATGTCAATCAACTGTAATGTGGGTGTGTCATTCAATCCAGTTGTGCTGATCAGCTGATTACTGGACATCTTCAATGTGTGTAGTCTTCTTAATGATTCCAAACCACCTGTGGACACAATGATATTCTAAATAAAATTGTCTACATTATACTGAATTTGTTGATTAGCTTACTAAGATTGCACTTTGGCAAATCTATAACATACCTATTCTTGTGATCTTGTTGTTTGAAAGATCTAGCCACCTTAAGTTGGAACATCCTGCAAGTCCATGAATGGTACTCAAGGAATTATGGGAAAGGTCAAGAAAGGTCAGGTTACTCAGGTCCTTTAGGTCCACATATTGAATAAAGTTATCCTTTGAAAAAAAAAATATTTTCTTTAAGCTTGCCACTAATCAATTCCCTTGTACAGAAACCTTTTTTTTGTTATTTCATTTTACGAGCATTGCCATCTTGCATTTTTGTAATAACATAAGATTTCACTCTCATAAAAAAAATCCTGAGTAAATTAGCAACACATTAGTTATTAAGTTACCTGTAAATCTAAAAAGTGGAGTTGTTTACACTGCTGTAAACCCTCTATCACAGTCAGGTTACACTTAGACATCTTCAGGGATTTCAGTCCCCAGCACTGTCCTAATGTAGAAATGTTACAGCCTGGCAGGTCCTGTAGCTCTACAGTCGTCACCTACAAATGATGAACACAATAAAAGTCTGTGTAAAACTTATTCTTATAGATATCTAAAGTATGGTGTCATGATTCAAAATATATGCATACCAGTAAAAATACTTTTGACTATTAAAACGGGTTAATATACATGTATATGTAAAATGTACATTGCATATGCACTTTCAATTTTTTTCCCTATGTCTTTTATTGTTTTATATTTATTCATATGAGTCCCTGATCCACAAAATTGAAAAGCAGCTCTGTAAACTGTTGGTATAATTAATATTTTCAGATGAAAGAAAATTTTAATAATAAAAGAATGATTCATAAGCAGTTTTGATAAGACAAGTACCTGTCTGAGGGTGGAAACTCTAGCAGCCATAACAATGGTGGCTTCACTCAGTGGCTGTAATTTCTTGGCAGATGTTGGTCGTCTGATGCTTTTGGAGGACACAGACTTCAACTTCCATGGCTCATTACTCACTTTACTAATAAATTATTATCAAAATAAACAATGAATGTAAAAAGGATAAACCAACATGCAACAACTTTAAAAAAAACCCTGATATTACCTTGCAGGTTTGCTGATTCAACATATAGTACTTATATTAAATGCAAGCCCCAATCAGTAAAAAAAAAAAATCTAAAAAAAATCATTAAGTATCTTTCATCAGCTATTTTTAATACAAATACACAATGTACATATGGGGGCACAATTAAGACACAGATCTAATCATAGTTCTTGCTCTGTAAGAAAACTCGCTCAGGAAGACCTACCTCCAAGGTACACATTCTTTGATCCACTGCAATCTCAGTTTCTCCAGATTCTCTGGTAGGCCCTGTAGTAGGAGTGTTGAGGTTTGTCTGAAATACAAATTATAATTCATCCAGATAATAAATTATAATTCATACAAAGAACAAATTGTAATTCATACAAAGAATATCAAACATAATACCAGCTGGTACTTAAAAATGCACAAAATGTAAGTTGGGTATATTTATACATACAGTGAAATAAGCAAGTTTAACTTTGCCTTACTGTAAAAAAATTTAAAAAAAAAGGAAAGAGTTATCTTACAATTTCTTGGAGTCATCCATTTCAAAAATATCAAAATCTTCTTGGTATTTTCCTTTTGATTTTGATCTTGCAGAAAGTGGTCTTGGAGATCCCAGTGATGTTTTTCCTGACACAGGAACTTTTGATTTCTCTATTTCTTTGAAATAAAAAAAAATAAGGAGATAAGCAATTCCTTTGGTAAAACAATGTATAATTCTAAGTATTCAATGCTAAAATATCCATTTATTTTTACCTTGCCCTTTCCTTGGTTCTTTCACTGCTTCAGCTTCCATAGCTTTTCTAGTAGCTACTACCTCCTCCCTCTGTCTAGCCTCCTCCTCTGCTTTTATCCTTGCAGCCTCTTCTTCTTTCCTCTTTAATTCTTCCTCTGCATGTTTCCTTGCCTCTTCCTCTGCTTGTTTCCTGGCTTCTTCTTCTGCTTTTCTTTTAGTTTCCTCTTCCTTTCTTTTGGCTTCTTCTGCAGCTTTTTTCTTTGCCTCTTCCTCTGCCTTCCTCTTGGCTTCTTCCTCCATTTTCCTCTTAGCTTCTTCTTCAGCTTTCATCTTTGCCTCCTCCTCAGCTTTTCTCCTTGCTTCTTCCTCTGCTTTCCTTTTAGCCTCTTCTTCTTTGGCTTTCTTCTTAGCCTCTTCCTCAGCTTTCCTCTTGACCTCTTCCTCAGCTTTCCTCTTGGCCTCTTCCTTAGCTTTCCTTTCAGCTTCTGCCTTCTTCTTTTCCTCCTCCTCTTTTTTCCTTTTTGCTTCTTCCTCTGCCTTCCTTTCTGCTTCTTCCTTGATCTTTTTTTGTCTATATCAAAATGGAAAACAGAATATTTGTACCGAATATCAATTTTTATTGCAGTATCTAAGCCAGCTGAGAAGTAAAATACTTTGTATATATATTCCTCACCTATCTTCCTCCTTCTGTCTCTGGATTTCTTCTTCCACTTCCTTTATTCTCTCTTCCTCCCATTTTCTCTCTCTCTCCTCCTTCATTTCCTGCAAGGTCTCTTTATACTGCTTTCTCACACTGTAAACAAGAACCTAACATTTTAGTGCACAGAAAAACTTGTTAAGTAGAAGAAGTTGTAGAGTGTAAGATATTACCCATTTCCATATATATTTCTCCTGGTTTGAAGTTTTCCCTTGAATTAAAGGATACCCCAGTTTAGTGGTAGAGTAACAGCTTACCTATATCCCCTGTATCTGGCCTGGATTTTAGTGGCTGATTGCTGTTGTTTTAGCTCCTGTTTCTTTAGCTCCTCACTCCTTTCATGCTCCAGTTGCTCCTGTTCATGCTTGGTTTCTGATTCTAGTTTCTCTATTTCCTCCTAAAACAACATAAAATATATAAAATATTTATAAAATGTTTTAAAAAAAATTCTTTTGCAGTAAGAGACATTCCAGACAAACAGAGATGACCTACCTCATAATATTTCAGCTCTTTCTCTATTTCAATTTCTTTGTCTTTAAGTTCCATTTCAAATTTTTCTTCTTGAATCTGAATGATAAGACAGAAGATTTAAGATTTATTGGATAAATGCTTTTATAAATGTCTTGGGTTCATATATGTATGTCCAAAAAGAAAAAAAAAAATACTAATGCACAATATATATGCACAATTTCAAACTGTATTTCATTATAGCATTTTCATTTTCTCCATCAGATAATCATAAGTAATTTAGCAAAAGGACATTCTATGTGAAATTATGATCAACTATATGAAACTATAAAATTGAAGAAAAATACAAACACTTTTCTATCATGTTTCATCACATTCAGGCCATTTTATCTACAATCTGCTGTATTATAACATATAACCTTTCTCTCAGCTGCTAGCTGAGTTTCCTCCCTTTGCAATGCTGCAAACTTTTCCATCCATTTTTTCTCCTTCCCCTCAAAATCCTCCTGTTCCCGTTTTCTGTCCTCAAGGATTTCCTTCATAAGAATACATGTACATGTACATCTGTACCTAAATTTTACCATTTAGTAATTCAGGATATGTACATATACTAATTTGTTTTAATCTTTTGTATCCAACAAGCCGTTATGAAGTTGCTGAATGAATAAACTACACATATTTTCATATCTTGCATCCAAACACATCTTTGAATAAAGTAATAGCAAAGAAAATCATGGTGCATATTTTTGACAAGATTGCACAGAGAGTGCATGTTTATGGAAAGCTGGTTTACAGTTCATATGCATCAAAATTCACTTATACTGACATTAATAAAAACTAGTGGTAAAGTTAGTGCAAGCAATGTTTATAATTAAATCGTTACCAGATTTTTTTTTTGGTTAAAATAAATTGCATTTAAGTTAGCTGAATTAAGTGCTCCCATTCAGTAAATCCTTGTTTTACCTGTTTGAGTTTCTCTTCTCTTTCTTTCTGAGTTTCCTCCATTTTCTTCAGAGTTTCTTTGAACTTCCTCTGGAATTCCAGCTGCTTCTCATCTAAGTGTACGAGTGCCATACTGTTGTCTAAAATCAACAGCATCAAAGAAATATATCAATGTTTTACCAAATGTCTCTGTCACACTGCGAATTGAAATCTTTGAAATTTGCAAGAAACAATCGTATACATGTGCTAACTTTTCAGCATATACTTGGGACTGTATAGACATATACTCATGACTGTATAGACATATACTTAGGACTGTATAAATATTTACTCAGGACTGTATAGACATACTCAGGACTGTATAGACATATACTCAGGACTGTATAGACATATACTTAGGACTGTATACACATACTCAGGACTGTATAGACATATACTTAGGACTCATGGATAGACGTTAACTTTCAGATTCAATTGCCCTTCGGGCAAGTGATCTCAAATTTTGACTTGTCCGAATGCAAAACTTGGTTGCCCAAATAGGAAAATAATTTATTGCCGTAAATATTATGATAAGAAAAAGTGTGAACAGATACACTACTATAAATCTGGCAAGTTGAGGTACCAGAAAAAATTTAGATGGTACGTTTGGACATAAATGTATACTACCACTTTCCTTGTCGATTTAATCTGTAAACACACACTGCAATGCATCAATAACCATCTGTTTCCTTTTTAATAAAAAATCATTTTGGGTAGGATCGTTTTGTTTTGTGATTTTTGATTGATGCAACGCTAAGGTATAGATAGTTGCTATGAAACATACATATCTTGATCAGGATAGGTCATGTTATATTCTGTCAGTGTGAATGAATTAAGTAGTTAACAAAGTACGTAGAGCGTATTTAACATGAAATAAAAAAGAATAACGAACCCGATTTTTAATGAACGATATAATCTAGAAATCCAAGGGAGCAATGTCAGTCACGTATCTGGCGGAAATCAAGTGTTCAATCTATTGTTTTATTTATAATTAATGTAAAATAGATACCAATATACATTTCTATCAGAAAAATTCACTTGCCCGATCGGACAAGTAAGTTGACAGTTTCACTTGCCCGAACTGAGAATTTACTTGTCCCGGGCAATCGGACAACCGTTAATGTCGATCCCTGGGACTGCATATATAGACATATACTCAGGACTGTATAGACATATACTTAGGACTGTATAAATATTTACTCAGGACTGTATAGACATACTCAGGACTGTATAGACATATACTTAGGACTGCATATATATAGACATATACTCAGGACTGTAGGCAAGTAAGGTCATATAATACTAAATACATACTATATAATAATTTACTATAACTATGGAAAAGCTATCAAGCTTTCCAAAGAGGCCTGTCAATCTCAACAAGAGAATTTACAACAAAAACAGACTGCTTATTTTAAGATGATTATTAACATTAAGTCGTCATGAATAATACATGGGAAATAGTCCTATGTAACTTACCATTGGCATCTTTTTGTTCATCATTGTCATCAACAAGTAGAGATGAAAAGTCAGAAATGTCAAAATCTTCTACCTCCTCCAAAATCTACCAAGATCCAACACAAATCATAAAATGTAAGTTCTAGCTTTTACACAATTACACAAGAAATCAACGTATCATCTTTCAGTTCTTTAGATGGAACTAATTTCATTCATTAAAGCTAATCTACTTGCGCTTTCATGCAATAATGCACAATACTGAATTATGAATTCATGTAAACAGGTTAAAAATTGATGATTTTCTCATTTTAGAAATTTGATGAGTGGAAACCTCATCAATCAAGTAGTATCTTAGATTTTAACTTTTAATTTTAACAACAAACATAATTGACAGGAGGAACAATTGATATTTATGTCATTCATCAGTTTTGTTAATATTTCATATTGGCAATACAATTGAAATCAATATATTCAAGCAATACCAAGGATATGTTGAAGTGATTTGGAAGTCCCTATCACTTTTTCTTCATGCATTTTAACATAAAAATCTGGAATCCTTGGATATCTTGAGTTATTTATCAGTTCCAGTGAGTTCAAGATAACAAGGTTTGACTTTATTTCCATGTTCACTATAACTAATGATTGTCCTTCAGAGTGCATGCATTCATTCTTTATTCATTAGCCCTTTTCTGTACATGTATACATATGTTTACATGCTAGTTTGTTTACTTAATGACCTTTTTTCTATATGTTTCTGGACTTTCTCCTCTTTCTTTGGCTAGCTGCTCCAAAGTACCAAGTTCTTCCTCATTCAGCAACAATTTTGGTCCTCAAATTAAAAATAACGGGGCTTAAAATACTTTAAACAATAATATTATACAATTTAATATAATACTGAAATTCTGTAAGCTTTTGGGAAAAAAAAAACTTTATGTACAACAACAAAGTTGACTGTTATTTGATATATAACTTTTACAATTTATACAGTCATTATCACAGTTACATATTCTGCTTCTTTTAATTAATTAAATTACTTTCAATGCCTTGATCAGTAGTGAGGGCTAAATACCTGGAGTATGATGCTGTAATAATTCATCGCACTCTGCTAGTTCCTTCTCAAAGTTTGAAGCTTGTTTTTGAATTTGGTTGATATAGTCTGACATGCCATCGGGTAAGGTCTAAACAGAAACGTAAATATTTTGAACATTCAGTTATATGAATGGTTTTTGAAAGATGTGAGAAACATTAAGATACATGAAAATTTATTGATTTTTTTTATTGTAAGGATGAAAACTGCTCTTTACCTCATCTTCTAGGGGAATATCCAAATCAACATCTTGAATTTCTTCCTCATTTTCTTCATACTGGAAATCATCTGCATCAAGATTTATTTGATCTAGTTGCTGAGCAATTTCTGCCTCGATCAATGCCTCATCGTCCATTGTAACCCCAAACACACCAGAAGGGGGCATGCTCTTCATCAGTGTCAACGCATGTATCCTCCTCCTGACATCAGGCCAGCTGGCTTAATTTGGATTGTGATCAGTAATTTCATATCACTGTCAAAAATGGAGAAAAGTTTGAAACTCAAACTAGAAGTGCTGAAACATTTTCCTTCGACCAAAATTTAAACAGTCATGAAAAAATTCAGTTTTGAATTTAGAACAAACTGTTTAATTCCCCCTGATGCGATTTATATAGTTTACATACTGGTATCTCCATATATTGCAGTACTTATTTCTTTGGCGTAAAAGAGTTATTCCAAATATTTTACTTTTTCATCCAATACTATTTATAAACCTAAGAATGAACTAACTTTCTAGTGGCAAATTATTTTCAAACCTATCTTCGTTTAATTTGTAGTCTATTTTTAAAACAGGAAGTCTTAGTTACCTCCTAAAATGGAGATGGAGAGTCTCATTGTATCACGGTATTTGAATACATGGAAGATTGGCGCTGTTGTTAAGTACAATTTATTTTTTTAATTCAGCATGTGAGTCTACATGAAAACTAAACAATAATAACAAGGCTTTCAAAATATGAACTTTATCACGGTTTTTACTAGGATTATACATTCAAATCAATGATCTAAAATAAAAATAAGAATGGGAATGAAAGTCTGTAAATTACTCTTTATTTGAATAAATCTTTCTCCCACATGTGTTCATACTTTTTCCATTATCACACGAGTCAACAGTCAGATGACAGCATACATGTGATATGTACAGGCTGTACGCAAAATGTACAGTTTTTCGAGCCCATTCATCGTGTACCGGCGGGACACCAAAATTCACGGAATATGAAAATTTGTACAGTATTTTGAATTTCTCGCTAAATGCCGCCATTTTCCTCTCATTCTCGCTCGCGAGACACTGGAAAACGTCACCTGTGTTGACACTTGACCTGATGATAATTGTGTAGTGTACACAAACCATCGCCTGAGAAGGTGTGAACTGCCAATTGGGATAATTATCTTGCTATAAATTCGTATCAAATACCCCTTTAGGTAGCTTTATTTTTTAAGGGGTACTTAATTACTGTTAATGTTTCGTATACGTAACTTGATTGAAAAAAATTAAGCCAACTTCTAAATTTGATATACATGACTTAATATACGTGAATCTGACCCAGATCTTCGTAGGTATAAAATATACGATGTTTATTACAATGATTACGATGGAATTTCAGTAGAATTTAAGCGATATTTTATACCATTTTTTGTACCGTTTTTTGATAGGCAGTGTACAGTTTTTTCACCCAAATTCCAGTTTTTTTGTGGCTCCTGTACAGTTTTGTGGTCTTTGACTTATCACATGTATGTGACAGACAGTCAATTAACAAAAAGAATATGTACTATGCATCCTAATTTTTGGAAAATACCTCGATACAATGGAACCCAAAATACAATGAGAATAGATAGAGAGAGAGAGAGATTGTTAAGTTTTATGCCCAGATAGTTATCACTGTTCAAATTCAAAGAGAATGTACAAGTAATCTGAAGTAACCAAGTCTGTACATTATTGAAAGACGAACTCATTCTGTGTTTTATCTCTTTTACGTCTATCAAAAGAATAAAATCTCAACTTTGTTTCTCGTTCGAATTTACTCTACAAAAAGCGTCTCGGGGCAACGAAGTAATTAGACCAACATTAATTTTTACTGGCATCCCAACAACTCAAGAATTCCGAAAGACAGTTAATCAAGATCTTTTTTCATATATACATCACATACCTTAGAGAACACGTTCAGTATACATGAACTTTGCTTGATCATTTTTTCACCAGCGTTTAGATATTTTTAATCGTTGGTATGCCAAATCTTTGTTAGCAAGGCGCTTCAGTTTTTCAAAAAGTAAATGCACAAACCAACTTTTGGGGAAATTCTATTTACGAGTAAGTATATCTTGACTATATAATTATATGTGTTTTGAATTGTAAAATCCAGTCAAGTATTTTCGCCATTTTACATGGATCAGGTGTTAAGACGAATAATACCTCATAGAATAAGAGCGGGAATCATTAAAAACAAAGACAACAACAACAAAACAAAAAGGTCATTATTTTACGCAATTTAATTAAAATTAGATGTTCCGAATCCGCTACCGCTTCTCAAACATCGTTTGAGAAGCGGTTCGTAGCGGATTCGGAACATTTAATTTTAATTAGATTGTATTTTATGTGTAGAAAAATGTCATCAACACCCTTTAAATATGCACATCCTACGTGAAGAAAAATGACTTCCGTAGAAAAATTTACCCCTTATAGATTTTATTAGGGATGCATATTTAATCAAGAGGCCTGTGGGCCAAAATGCTCACCTGAGTTAAATTGAAAATACAGCGATGATATGTTGTTCTCATATACCTTTGTATGGACACACCCCTCCGTATTACCTGATCTATGTTTTATGATAAATTGACAACATTAGGAGATGAAGATATACTTCAATCTATACTATGTAGAAATGCTTCCATATTTATTTGACAAAAGCATCATCGTTTTAAAGAAGACTTTACAAAAAATCTCCTTCAAAAGCTGGAGAGAGAGAGAGAGAGAGAGAGAGAGAGAGAGAGAGAGAGATTATATTGTCTACATGTATATCTACCGGTTAATCAAGCTTCGTTTAGGTTAAAAGGTTTTTCAAGTCATTGTGTTTGCGTTTAGGTTCAAGTTTTTTTTTTCAAGTCATTGTGTTTTAACAGCTTACATACATGTAATTTTCGGACATATATATAGCAAAATTATCTTGAAAAACTAAGACGCTACATGTGCAAGGGCAAAGGGCAAAAGTAAGTCTTGAAAACCAACTAAATACAATATTAGTAAGAAGAAATTCTCAATTTTCATTAAAACCAACAAAACAAGCATTGTAATTAACCTTCCAGTGTATTTGCCCAAAAAAGTGGAGATATTAAATTGCGAGTAAAGCTTCCATGAATCCCCCAAAACAGCTTAGAGATTAATGGAGTCGATTAAAAAAAACTTGATCAGATATCCATAGCTCGTCCCCAATAATTATATGCACTATACATGTACCCTCTTTTGATTTTTCTGGATGCTCTCCTTCATCAGAGGGATGATAAATCTTGTGCAAAGAAGAAGAAGAAACATTAAATTTGTATGAACAAATATGTGATTTGCTCGAACGAAGAATTAAGTTGTCCCAGCAAATATCCAGCTCGTCCCGAACAAATACAATTTAATCTACATGTACTTTTTTCTAAAGTACAATTTAATCGTCTGGAAGAACTTATTTGACCACATACCTTTTTCACCAAAACGAAGAACATACTAGTATCTGGCGGAAGTTATCGTATCTTATGTAGCGTTTCCGAGTAAATCCTTTTCACATTCATATTTTGGTAGCTCTCAATCATAATTCCTCTTTGTAATAAAACACAAAATAACGGTAAAATGTTTATTAAATCCAAATGAAAATAAAATATAATTCAAATCAATGTCACAAAGTATAAATCCAAAAGAATTGAATGAAAGGCACTTAAAATAATTATTCCAATGTAACTCAAGTTAAATTCCCATTATTAAACTACTCTTTCAAATTACTCCCCCAAATTACTCCCCTCTCATTATAAAATGAGCCTGCTTATATAGTTTATGACTCCTCTTACTCCTCCTAATGTCTCCCCTAAAGTAAACTAAGGTCAAGCTATAAAGTCTAAACACTATAAATCACTACCATTGTATAAAACCTCCTCCTAACCTAATTAACAGCTCCCCATGACCTGTTCGCAGTCTGGGTCAAGACATTGATAAACAATCTAGTCTAAGAATAAAAGTAAAATAATAAAAACATACTAATCTACTGAATAAGAAAAGTAAATATAAAAAAATAATAAAGATAAAAAAAAATCATTATGCTACATTTCCCCCTGCTTAGCTTTGTACCCCGTACAAAAACAATTAAACAAAAATAAAAGCCTTTCAAACAAAAGTAAGACAATGTAAATAATAAAAGCAAATGATAAAACAAAATCAATCATGTACATCATCAAAAATATGCAAAATAATGGCATTTTAAAACAAAAATACTTATAAATGATGAATTAAAAAAAATATTAAAATGTCATCTATTTACAAATTTATACACGGTCACAGTTCATTTATTACTCTCATTAGAATTGTCCAAGAAATCGTCCATGAAATCTGATATCAAGTCCATCACTGGCACCTCTCTCATTTCTTTGGTATAAGAAAAGTTTATCTCTTTAACAATTTCTGAATGTCCGTCCTTGTGATTAATTTTCCTATGAATTAACTGGATGGTAATGGATTTCTTTTCCTCAGAAACATTGTCTTTTTCTTCCTCATTACTGTTCTCGGCACTCTCTTCTGTTTTGTCACAATCCTCAGAATCTTTTGATGGCTCGAACTCTTCTTCATCAGATGAAATATCCTCATATAAATCACTTTTCACGGTAAAATCCATATTCCGGTCATTAGAAAAATTTGGAATATCTTCTGGTGAAAGGTCATCTAAAACTTCCATTAAACTGTGTTGCGAAAAATAATGTCTTTTAAAGTTGAAATTCCTTGTAAATATCCGTTGACAAATGTCACATTGATAAACTTTCTTCTTGGAAAAATGGTGTTCTTCTAAATGTCTTTGTAAATTCCTTTTATATTTGTACGTAATATTGCAGTCAAAACATTGGAACATTTTCACATAGAGTAAATTTTAAGTGTTTATTTTCTAAATCTTGTTGGGGTTTTTATAAGCCTGCCCAGTCTTGTTTTCTTGGGTTCCATCTGGGTTGGGGTTGACAAATGTCCATTATTCTCCTCCCTGCTCCTCTCTAACGGTATATCCTGGGTCTTGTCTTTAACTGGCAAGGTGTTTTCGGCTTCAGAATTTCCAGTGTTGTTAAATTGATCTTCAATGTCTTCGGGGACTTCATCACTTGGACATAAATTTGGAATGATGACATCTGGTTCACTATTTGTAGTTTTCTGAATAATGCGTTGCAGTTTCAAATAAGTTGTCTTGTTCACTTTTAATGGTTTAAGATTGTCCGCA